CTAATAAATAAGCACTAGTATCTAATGATTAAGTACTAGTATCTAATGAATAAGTACTAGTAACTTTACAAAAGACACTAGTACCTAAAGAATAAGCACTAGTACTTAATGGAAAAGATACTAGTATCTAAAATATAAGTACTAGTAACGTTAAATTAGATACTAGTGCGGATTATAGATTAAATGTTAAAACAGCTTGCCATAAGCACATTAATATAAAATTCTACTTTGATTTAAGGCCAGACTCGTCCAATCAGTAAAAACTTTCACATTAAAAAAATAATTAAATATATATATATATATATATATATATATAACTTTTAATATAGCTAATAAACTCGTTTGAAATTTTATCTGCTGTCAAAATTTGGTTGTTTCCTTTTAAAGTAAGTGGCGTAATTTAAGATTGTAATGGTCCATTGCTTGTTTGCGGGAAATGTATATCCTCATCTCAAGCCTTAAGTTTCCGATCTGCACTTCACACACAAACGCTCAATTAACAACTCGAGGTGTGATGCGGTATTTGATACAGGATGGGCCTGTGTGTATATTCGGAGTTCGCCCTTTGAAGTCGACTAACAAGCTACTTGTCAAATGTTTATTCCAGTAGAACCTACAAGGCACCGGCAATATCCCAATTTGATCAAATTCAAAACACCCACAGCAGACAAACCCATCATCAGTTCAGAGTAGTTCCAAATTAAATTGTCGGTCACCTAAGCCAAACCTGATAGGCTGATTCGAACGTTCGACGATTCGAACGCTTCACAGCTGATTCATATTTTAAAGGGGACGCGGGAACGGAATATGGGTCAGCTTTAAAACAACAGGGCGAACAGTTGTTGCCGGTACGTGGGACTTGCCAGGCACTGGGTGTAGTTCGCGTCTTTCATCTGGAATAGGGCAACGGAGTCAGGTGTTTGTCCGGAGTGCATTCGGGCTTAGCGTCACTTTTTAAACGACAAAAGACCCAGTTTTGTTGAGCTGTTGTTGAGTTTTGTAAAGCTGTCTAAAATGTTTGAGGTAAGTTGCTTGTTTGATGTCTTGTCTTAAGTTTCGTTCTTTTGTCACCATGATCTTTTTACTTCGAGTCACTGAAATGTGTATTACCATTTCTAGTAACTGAAGTTGTACATTTGCTCGTGATTCTAGGCAATGGTAAATGTGAAAACTTAAACAGACCTGGCGTGTGTGTGTGTCTAGAAGTTATCACAAAATTAGTTTACTATGGTTTCTAGGCAGTGGTAAAATGCATTTTTAAATCTTGGGAGTAGGTGAATTTAAAAGGCTACGTGTGTGTGTGTGTGTGTGGTGTGTGTTTTTTTTTTTTTTTTTTTTTTTTTTTTTTTTTTTTTTTTTTTTTTTTTTTTTTTTTTTTTTTTTTTTTTTTTTTTTTTTTTTTTTTTTTTTTTTTTTTTTTTTTTTTTTTTTTTTTTTTTTTTTTTTTTTTTTTTTTTTTCTTTTTTCCCCAGACTAGTCAAGATGACCTGTTTCTGTTCCCCACTGAAGGCCAGAATGAGGCTTTCTTCCCCGAGGAGGGTTTAGGCAGTGGGTACTTGTCTCTTGCTGAGGCCTTGCTTCCCCTGGTTGAGTCCCCATCGCCCCCGATGACGCCCTGGCTCTGCTCCACCCGCTACAAGACGGAACTGTGCAGCCGCTATGCTGAGACGGGTACCTGCAAGTATGCCGAACGCTGCCAGTTCGCCCACGGCCTCCACGATCTCCACGTACCCTCCCGTCATCCCAAGTACAAAACCGAGCTGTGCCGTACCTACCACACTGCTGGCTACTGTGTCTATGGCACACGGTGTCTCTTCGTGCACAGCCTTAAAGAGAAGAGGCCTGTCCGTCAACGGCGCAGGAACATGCCTTGCCGTACCTTTCGTGCGTTTGGGGTTTGCCCCTTCGGTACCAGATGCCACTTCTTGCATGTTGAGGGTGGTTCAGAATCGGATGGTAGAGAGGAAGAGCGAACCTGCCAACCTTCGTTACCTTCCCAAGAGCGGAAGCCTCTTGGTGCCCTCTGTCGCACCTTCAGCGCTTTTGGTTTCTGTCTCTATGGCACCCGTTGTCGATTCCAACATGGGCTTCCCAACTCAATCAAAAGTGTCAACTCAACCCACACATCCTGGCCTCATCAGATGACCAATGGGGGATCTCTTTCACCTGCCTCAGGCACGTGCTCTTCACCATCTCCACCGTCCTTGTCCCCTCCGTCTGCATTTGCTTCGCCGGTGTACCCTGACGGTTCTGGTCCAGTCACACCACCATCGGTAGAAGCAGTAGCCAACAATGCTTTCACCTTCAGCAGCCAACATCTGAATGATCTTCTGCTCCCCCTGGCCCTTCGGCTCCAGCAGCTGGAGAACACTGCCAATGCTGGTCCTTAAGATGCTCTGGATAAGCCGCTGTCGTGAAGTCTGTGGCAAGATGATCCCAGAAGCTAACTGCTGTAAGCTTTAACTGTGACTGTACTGTGCCGAATTTATTTTTAACGTTGTTTTTTAGTAGTTGTGTACAGTGTCTCTTTGCAACTTATTTTAACTGCCTTTTGAGACTGATTCTCAAATGTTTGCTTTATTTTCTTAATTCAAGTCTGTCTTGTACTTCTGAGGCCACTTATTTTTGACTGACTGAATGAAGCCCCTTGAGTGTAAATTAAGACCATTTTACGTGTGTCTATACGAAGGATTTGACTATGTATGTTTCTAACTTATGGACTTTTAAACTGACTTTAAATTATTTGAGAAACATCAGCATCCTTTGCTCTCAATAAAACCTCCTAAAAGGATTTCGTGTGGGGTTTTTTTTTATTTTTTTTTATTTTTTATTTTTTTTATTTTATAAATATAGCTCTAATGACAAGATGACTGAACATTTGAAAGCTTGGTCTAAATATTTTTTTTTTTTTTTTTTTTTGTATTTCTACCTTGTTACATTTTTCTCCTAAATAAATTCTGGTAAATAACATT